ACAAAACTAGGCCGGGCGCGGTGGCTCAAGCCTGTAATCCCAGCACTTTGGGAGGCCGAGGCGGGTGGATCACGAGGTCAAGAGATCGAGACCATCCTGGTCAACATGGTGAACCCAGGAGGCGGAGGTTGCAGTGAGCCCGCGCCATTGCACTCCAGCCTGGGTAACAAGAGCAAAACTCTATCTCAAAAAAAAAAAACAACTTAGCTGACGTGGTGGTGATGCCAGTAATCCCAGTTACTCTGGAGGCTGAGGCTGGAGAATTGCTTGAACCCGGCAGGGGGGGATTGCAGTGAGCCAAGATCGCGCCATTGCACTCCAGCCTGAGCAATAAGAGTAAAACTGTCTCAAAAAAAAAGGAACAGACACATATCTCCTCACATTTAATATCAAGTGTCAGGGCCAGGCAAGGTGGCTCATACCGGTAATCCCAGCACTTTGGGAGGCGAGGCCGGTGGATCGCCTGAGGTCAGGAGTTTGAGACCAGCCTGGCCAACATGGTGAAACAATACTGTTTCTACTAAAAATATAAACATTAGCCAAGCATGATAGTGGGCACCTGTAGTCTGAGCTAATCAGGAGGCTGAGGCAGGAGAATCGCTTGAACTCCGGAGGTAGAGGCTACAGTGAGCCGAGATCATCCCACTGCACTCCAGCCTGGGCAGCACAGCAAGACTCTGACTCAAAAAAAAAAAAAAAAAAAAAAGAGAAGAGAAGAAGGAAATACATTACTTATATGTGCAATGTCAATGAATCTTAAATACATTAAGCTAAGTGAAGGAGGTCAAACTCAAAGGCTACATATTGTATGACTCAACGTATATAACATTCTGGAAAAGTCAAGACTATAGAGATAGAAAACAGATCAGTAGTTGATAGGGGCTGCAGATGAGAGGAGAGGAATGTCAAAGAAAAGTGAAAATAAAGCCTGGTATAGTGGCTCACACCTGTAATCCCAACACACTGGGAGGCCAAGGTGGGTGGATCACTTGAGGTCAGGAGTTTGAGACCAGTCTGGCCAGAATGGTGAAATCGGTTTCCACTAAAAACACAAAAATGAGCCAGGAGTGATGACACCCGCCTGTAGTCCTAGCTACTAGAGAAGCTGATACAGGAGGATCGCTTGAACACGGGAGGCAGAGGTTGCAGTGATATTGGGCCACTGCACTCCAGCCTAGGCAACAGAGTAAGAACGTCTAAAAAAAAAAGAAAAGTGGAAATATTTTGGAATTACTCTATATCGTGACTGTGGTGGTCATTACACAACCTGTTTGTCAAAGTGCATTTAACTTACCAACAACGACTGCCTCTTTTCTTTACCCCGTTTGATAGAGTCTGACTCTTTTCTCCAATGGGGTGCAGTGGTGCGATTTCAGCTTACTGCAACCTCTGCCTCCCAGGTACAAGTGATTCTCCTGCCTCAGCCTCCCAAGTAGCTGGAACTACAACAGGAAGGCAATACGATGCCCAGCTAATTTTTGTGTTTTTATACAGACTGGGTGTAACCATGTTGCCCAGGCTATTCTCCAACACCTTAGTTCAAGTCATCCACCCACCTCAGCCACCCAAAGTGCTGGGATTAGAAGCCTTGAACCACTGAGCTTGGCTATAGGTCTTTTGTTCTCTGATTTTTTTTGTGTGTGTGTGAGACAGAATCTCACTCTGTCACACAGGCTGGAGTGCAATGGCGTGATCTCAGCTCATTGCAACCTCCGTCCCCCGGGTTCAAGCGATTCTGCTGCCTCAGCCTCCCCAGTAGCTGCGATTACAGGTGCCTGTCACGGCACCTGGCTAATTTTTGTATTTTTAGTAGATACGGGGTTTCACCATCTTGGCCAGGGTGGTCTTGAACTTCTGACCTTGTGATCCACCCACCTCAGCCTCTCAAAGTGCTGAGATTATAGGCGTGAGCCACCGCGCCCAGCCTATTCTCTGATTTATACCAAGCAAGTTGGAGGCATATAGCTGTAACTCAAATATTTTCTATGTGAATAAATGTCATTTTCTTTTTTTAATTGAGAGGGAGTCTCGCTCTGTTGCCTGGGTTGGGGTGCAGTGGAGCGATCTGAGCTTACTGCAACCTCCACCACCCTGGTTGAAGGGATTCTCATCCCTCAGCCTCCCAAGAAGGTGGGACTACAAGTGCGCACCACCACGCCCAACTAATTTTTTTGAATTTTTCGTAGAGATGGAGTTTCACCATGTTGGCCAGGCTGGTCTTGAACTCCTGACCTCAGGTGATCCACCCACCTGGGCCTCTCAAAGTGCTGGTATTACAAGCGTGAGCCACTTCACCCAGCCTAAATGTCATTTTATCAGCAAGACAAAAATAATTAAATTCTGAGGCCTTGTTTGGTGACTCAAGTCTTTTTTTTTTTTTTTT